GATGAAAACGTTGATTTACGATTTGAAAAGGAATGATAGATTTCAGAAGCATCGAAGATTTTTTTTAAAATTTCATTGGATAAACTTTCAATTGAGCTTATCGACATACTGAATAAGTAATTTAATCGATCTAGAACGCATGATCTATAGAATAAAACATGCACATGTTTGTTCGTTATTCTTTATATACAAAGGGTGTAGGTGTGGCTAAAGAGAAATAGTAGACTCTGACATTTACACTCACACTGTAGCTTCTTCTTGATTCGATTTTTATTTGTTTTATATGATTATTATTTATTAATCATCTTTGAAATAAAGAACAAATGAATCAATGAAAAGTTTTTTTTTTGTACAATTGCGATATTAGTTACGTGTTGCAGCTATACTTTTTTGTTTTAAATGTTCGTGTCCAGTAATTGGAGCATATTTTGATTGTTGCTGTCGACATTTTTTACATGGCAATGTTTGAATAAAAGAATTCATATCTGGTCCAGTAAAGAATAATACTGAATATCTTAATTGTTTTACTGCTGCAACACGATGTAATATAGATATCCAGTAATTATTTGTCCATCTTTCAATATATTCACCACCAACTAATAATAGAGTGTCTGGTTTAGATTCTACACGAAACCATGTTTGATTTACGTTCACTTCTAAACCTAAAAAATAAAAAATATACCAGCAATATTTCTTGGCATCAATAGAAAAAAAATAGACTTCATTTACAAATATGCTAGATTTCTCTGACGAAAGAACAACCTCAAGTGTTCAATCACATTTCACATAAAAGTGTTGACCTTATATATAGTCGAGAAAACTGATTCCAAATATGTTAGTCGGAGCTCTCAATTGAGTATTGGAAAAACAGTTTTCCGCTGTCAACATTTTTTTTCCAAATTTTACATTTGATCTGTTCAGGTTGAAAACTAGTACCAGATTCATATCTGAAAAAGGGTCTAAAAGTCTAACAGAATTTAATAGAATCGATTTTCTAAAAATAATTAGAAAGTGGGAAAAAATGTTATATTTCTGTTTCCTCGATCTTCTGAAAAATTTAGCTAGATACAGTGCTTTTTTTTTCATTTCGATCTAAAAGTAGCAGAAGTTTTCTTCTTTTTTACATACCTGGTACATTATCATTTTGTAATAATGTAAATCCAAGAAAATCTTGATGTTCTCCGAATGCTAATTGTTCCTCATTTTTCGTTGGTAAATATTTAGTTAATCTTAAACTAAAAAGAGCATCATCATTTGTATAATTTTTATCAAGTGTATTTTCATCTAATTCCAATGCCATGTCAACAATATTATGAACATAAGAAATTAATTGTCTTGCTTTTAACATATAGTCTGGTATAACATCACGAAATAATTCAGGTAATTGATCAATAGAAAAATTGAATTGTTTTGATTGAGATTTGAAAGTGGTATAAAAAACTTCGACAGAATCGGAATATGATGCCTTTTTTTGCCCCTTATAGTTGGCAACAGATTCTAATCCTGTTGGTTTATATCCAGGTGTTTCATAATATGAACCATTTATTTAATATTTCAGTTTTGTTTCCAAATTTAATGAAAAAAATTCTTTTGATTTATCTATTAATTCTGATGTAATATTAGTATTGATTAATCGAATAATACCATATTCATGAAAAGTTTTATCAAATAATAATGCAATTTCTTTTCTCTCTTCATTTGTACCACTTATAAACTTTGACATATCAATTTCATTGATATTTAATAAACACATATCATCACATTGGTTTTGATGATTATCATTATCAAATGTATAAACATACATTATAAATAGAAAAATAATAATAAATTTCATATTGGACAGTCCAGGAAAAAATAAATGTATCTAAATTATGAACAATGAAACAGAATTCACTTACGTTTTCTAAAAGAATAAACAATACAAAGACGAGATTTTTTGTAGAGACATTAATTTATAAGCATACATTATAAGAGGGTCCCTGAGCTCATCAAGAAATCATGTCTCTGTAACAGTTATTGATCGTTACACTTCACTTCTCTTCCTTAAAGTGTTGATCGTGATGATGTCTGTTCGTAGTGATATAGATACGAGTGGAGTGATGAAGTAGCACAATAAACATCATTAGCGAGGATAGCGATAGAACTACCTCTCCAGTTCATCACAGTCGCATGGTCAAATTCCAGACTTTAATCTCTATATGCTTATTCCATAGCTCTTGTCTAGAAACTCTGTCGTCAAATTTATAGACGAAAAAACTTTTTCGATTGACATATTACATTTTTGAAAGCAGATTATTTTCAATTTTCTCAAAAACCAGGTATCTCGTATTTCCCTTCTTTCTCAACCATTTCGCAATCGATCTTTTTTAGCAATGTCTCATTTGAAACAAAGGGAAAAATTGAACGAGATATGATATTTTTCACGTCTCGAATATCATATCTAGGGTCTAGAATATGAAACATCAGTTTCTGAATATTTGGTAAAAACTATATAGTTAGGACTTTTTATCTAAAAATTTGAAATCTCTATCTTGTAGAGAAAACAATTTTCTACAAGATGCACTATAGTTTATATTTTGAAATCCTCAGGAAGGTGATCAAAAATGCAAAATACTAACAATGACTGCTGAAAATATCCTCATCTTCGACGACTTAAAACATCAAAAGTTCATTTTCAAGCAAAATCCATGTTATATTCGACATCAGCACTAAAAACTGAGTCGCAGTTTTTGGTGTTGATCTCGAAAATGGCATGGATTTTGCTTGAACATGAATTTTTGATGTTTTAAGTGGTCGAATACGAGAACATTTTTATTAGTCACTGTTAGTATTTTACATTTTCAGTCACCTCCCTGAAGCTTTTAAAATATTAACTATAGCAGATAGTTCAATATAATAGATGGATAGATAGACAGGCGGAAAGATAGGTAAATAGTTAGGCTGACAGATAGTGAGATAGATAGATATTTATCAATATACCACTCACGCGATAAAGAAGTTAGCTCTCAATACTACAAAAACAATTCATTTTCTATCTCCCAATTTTTCTTCTGACTCTTCATTCTTTAGCAACACCAGTGAAATTTCTTCTCAGCACACATACGTTTATTTTACAATAACATGAAATCACCACTTATATTCTACGGAGTGAAAGTTAAGAGAAGCTAAAGTATTTGTTGAAGTTAGATCTAATGTCTATCAAATAATACTACCAGATTATGAACTAAATAGAGCACTTAATAGGGTAATGTAGCTACGAAAAGGTTTCATATTAAAATAATATCACTAATGGAAATCTAGTATTCTTTTTCTCATCTTTCTTCTTCATTCTTATATTCGGTTATATAAAACGATCCTCCTAACATTTTAACTACGCAGATCTATAATTTTGAAGTGATGAAAGCTGTTATTCATCATTTACAGATAAGATATTCGTTTTACCTTTGTTAGACGTATCTAAGTACGAGAAAATAATGGTAGATATTTGTCCGGAGACGAGGACAGAATTACACATAAAATTTTTTTCCAAGGTCCACAAAAAAATATATACGTCACTAACTGCAATCATCACCATACAACTTTTCTCCGTCGATCTTCGATTTGATGTGTCTATTATATGAAAAGTCATTATCTTGAGGATAGCCTTTGATCATTTTGCGCTGTCACAACAAGAAAGTAATATGAAATTTTTTTCTTGGTGATATAAAAATAGAGATGCGTAATTGTCCTTGATATTTTTTTTCACACTGCTTGGATGTATGGGCTCGAGTTCGATGAGTGGATTTATCCAGTCACAGAGTATTAAAAGAAAGACTTGATAAGTAAGACAAATAAACATAATTGATAATGGAAACCATAGAAAGAATAATATTAAGCGACATCGATTCCTTCTAGTAGTTTGGATGAGTGTTGATGTGGGTATGGGTTTGGGTGTGGATGTGGGTGGGTGTGGGTGTGCGGTGTGAATGTGAGTCTGGGTGTGGGTGTGGGCGCAAAAAGAAATGAAACACCCACATCCATACCCCTCATTGATGCTAACAATAAAATTCTCCAGAGCTATTTTTTTAATTTAATATATAAGATATTTGTTACAGAATCGATTAGTTATTATTAAAAATTAGTAAAAAAAAATATTCTTTTTTAGTTAATAAAAATAGTCTGACGTCTTTTATTATTGATGGACGGTGTGGGTGTGGGTGTAGACTAGAAGGGTGACTCAGACCCACACCCACACTTATGTATTATTCACTTTAATTTTCATGAAGAAATCGATCACCGTAAAGCAAAAGTTGAGAGTAGCAGATTCATTTGTATAATAGAAGTGCATGTTAGTCTGTTTTCAATTGATTAAACAAAGATGTGACTGATAAACCTCATGAATATAGCTTATATTCATCGGCTACACTCAGAACACTTGTCTTCACAATATCAAAATAAAGTTGATGAAACGATAAAATACTTTCATAGAATGCTCGAAAATTATCGAACCTATGAATATAGAACAAGTATTCAATAAAACATTTAAACACTACTTGACAACGATGAATATGACAACAACAAAACATTCCATAGCAAACAAATGATAAGCTATAGCCAACTCAACAATGATGGATCATAAAATAGTCAGTATGGTTATTATTACTTCCATCCATACAGATAGGCATGAAATAACGTTTATAGAAAAGAGTCAAGCAGATTCTGATGTAAAATAAGCTCATTCTTTTTCTTTCTCTTGTAACTGTTGTCCATGTATGGCGATCGATTCTAGATCTTTTATTAATTTTGGATGATTGGATGGAAAACTTTTCAAATTAATATCATATTTCTTTTTCATACATTCTAGTGCTTCCTTGATTTTATTTTGACTATATAAAGTGTTTGCTAGACTGCGATAACTCTCACCCAGATCTAAATTTGGATGGTTTCATGGAATTGAATTTATTTGTATTTCCAGTAGTTTGTTAAAATATTTGACGGCCTTCTCATACTCTCTAAGCGTATTATAAAGTTGTCCTATATTATTATATAATAATTCAATTTGCAAATTGTCTGATGGAACAATGTTTAGTTGAATTTCTAGAGCTTTTATGAAATTTTCTAATGCTTCTGTAAGTTTACCTTGCTGATACAAATTTGAACCTAAAATATTATAGATTCTTACAATCTCTGAAGGATTACGAGGAATTGAGTTGAGATGTATTTCGAGTGTCTTATTCAAATATTCCACTGCTTTGTCATTATTACTTCGATCCTTGTAAACAATAGCTAAAGTTTCATACGATGTTGCAAGTAGCAAAGCTTTTTCAAATATTATTATTGCATTATCGAGTTTATTTGTTTTTTGCAATATTCCATTCCTAAATTGTGATAAGTTATGGCTAAATCTGAATGATTTGGCTCGAGCGAAGTTTGTTGAATTTCAAGTGATTTTATCAAGTATTCAATTGTTTTTTCAATATCACCATTTGTCAAATAAATTTGTGAAATATTCATGTACGAATTTGCAATATCAGGATGTTTCGATGGAAGGATCTTTAATCGAATCTCCAGAGCTTTTTCCTCCATTTCCATGGCTTCATCGAGTTTGTTTTGGCTGAGATACACTACTGCTAAATTGTTGTATGCATTTGCGAAATCATGATGATCCGATGGCAGTGAATGAATTTGAATCGCAAGTGCTTTTTTCAAGTATTCATCTGCTTTATTATAGTCTTTCTGTTGACGAAAAATTTCAGCCATGTTCATATATGTCTTCGCTATATCAGGGTGATTGTTCGACAGAACTTCTAATTCGATCTTCAGAGATTTCTCATACATATCTAATGCTTTTGAATAATGTCGTTGTACATTGTAAATTAGTCCAATGTTACCATAGTAAGTTGTAACAGCTATTAGATCTGGATTTTGTGTATCCAATTCAATGCTTAATGCTTTATTGAAATATTCTAAAGCTTTGTCAGTTTTCTTGTAATGGAAGATACTGAAGTAAAAATTCAAGTGATTTCTTGTAATAATCATTTGCTTTTTCGAATCGACCAGTTTCTGTACAAATCCAGCCATCATACCTTTCAGAAACAATCTCCCATTAAAAATAAATCTGAAACCCATATTGTTGGTGTTTCATTTGTTTTTTGAATAATGCAAAAGATTGTTATTGATAACAGAAAGTGTACTGACACTTTCAGTAATTGTTGAATCATCCAATGCAACAAGATAGTATTGCTCAGCTCTATCATAATTTGCCATTTTGAACATCAGTCCTGCTAAGCTGACAATGAGATGAATACTTATGATTTTTGTTTTCATATATTCAGCTAATACTTTTAGTTCTTCGTCTTCTTCACCAGTTAGCGATAGGTTCACAATCTGAAATTCTTCACTATTCTGTTCAACTGAAAGGATACGAAAAACAGCTCCCATGGTAAATAGAACTTCAGCTTCAGTTTTGAAATAGCTTTGTTTTTGCACATCAATATCGATTTCAAATAAAACATATTCTTTTCCAACTACACCTAGCGATTTTCTAGCAAATCCTAGAGAAACATCTCTAATAGTGCTAGTTGAAAGAAAGTTTGTTACTGACAAGAATCCACCAATATTGTTTTTCACATGTCGTTAGAAGTCATTGACTGACATTCCAAATCCTCGATAGACTTTTAATCTCTTAATTTTTAATTTCGACAAAGTAGCGACATATTTTTGATACTGCTCTATAAGCTGTAAATGTAAATCTTTTAAGGAGAAACCCATTTTGTATAATGTATCGATATCTTGTTCTCTCAAAGCTTTACTGAGAACTTTATAAGTGAAGCATTCTCTGATATACCATGTAATCGCATTTACAGATTTGTATTCTCGATTGAACTCGTCAATAATATTTAATTCAGGCAGGTTTTCCTGCATACTCTTTACGCAGATCATCAATGAATTTAATTTCAGTTTCGATATCATGTTGCATGTCAACCAGAATATCTTTCAGTATTTGAACATACATAAAACTAGGCTCTTGACGGTTTTTGTTAATGTCATCAACTATTATAGTATTGATTACTTGTAAATCGTTAGAAGAGAGTTTAATATAATTTCGAATTTTTTCACATAGTGAAGTGATATCAGTATAAATACCATGTACAATTTTGAATGATGGTGAACAGTTTTCATGTTTAATTTTATCAGCAGAGAAAATATAGACAGATGCTAATTGAGGTATTGAATTAATTTGTGGAAGAACATACTGACCAAATGAATCAGAAAGTACGAGAAGCAGTTTCTCACGTTTAATTCCACGAAGAAAATCCAGACAACATTCTTTGTTGTCGAATATTTCTAAACGGTTCATCATTTTTCTTAATTCAGCAATCACTTTTTGGGTATCATCAATCTTCTGAATATTTTCATCGAGCCAAACAACAATGAAATCTTCATAGTTTTTACGATTAGTCTGAACTCGATTTAAACGAGATACTTGCTTTTGTAGCATAGCTGTAGATGATTTTGATGAATAGATTACTTGTTGGTGAACTTTTGATTTAAACGAACGACATGGATAACAATCCATTTTGTTTGAATAAAATTTGAATAATGTTTCTTACTACAGAAATTCTAAAGACAGAGTATTTTTAATTGTTCTCTTAGAATAGTATTGTGTATGGTAACATGAGCACATTGTAGATCTCCATCAGTGTATTATTCAGAGAAAGATTCTTATCTCTTTCTCTTCTTTTTTTACTTGTTGAAGAAGACATATCTGTTATTATTTAGGAGTAGTATGAAACACTCATAATCACAGAACAAACACACATTTTCATCATGCTTAGATTTCATAAATAAATCTGCATCTTTGTCGGCACTAGGACAATTCGTTGCAGGACAATTCGTCGCGGACAATTCGTTGCGGACAATTCGTTGCATGGACAATTCGTTGCAATTATATAATCTAATAATAATTTATCATTGTTTTTTCATTAATGAATCGACCTATTAAATTAAATTTGAAACATAATTCAATAAGTATAAAAATTGTAGGGGATATTTCTAATGATTAGACCTCGATCTTTAATCTCGAGTAGTTGATAATCATTTTGTACGCATAAAAAGTTAGATTATTTGAATTATATCATCGGTAAAAGTTTTCTCATAGAAGCAGAAATGACACTGCATCTTTCTTTTAATTCCCATCGTATCTCAAGGCTTACGACATACGAGAAAATACTTTGAGAAGATGAGTGAAACCTAGTGCTCATTGAGAAAGATCGACTTTAATATGACCAAAAAAATAACTGTTGATCAAATCCTTTCATTAAGTCTCCATATGTAGCGTACAAATTTTGTTAGTCCAAAAACTATTAGCTCTTATTTTACCTATTCAAAATTCAACTAGTTCGAATTAACCGATGATTTATATAGTGCTAGGACTACTTTTGATGATATCTCACGTCTGAGGATTTTCATCTCATCGATATGAATCATGAAGTAGAAAACAGATCCGTTTTTTTGTTAAGCCAGAATTTTTTATAACGAGAGAAACCGAAATAAAAAAAATCGAAATCTACTCGTCAGAAATATCCCCTACAATTTTTATACTTATTGAATTATGTTTCAAATTTAACTTAATAGGTCAATTCATCGATGAAAAAATAATGATAAATTATAATTAGATTATATAATTGCAACGAATTGTCCATGCAACGAATTGTCTTGCAACGAATTGTCTTGCGACAAATTGTCCACGCAACGAATTGTCCGTGCGACGAATTGTCCTGCAACGGATTGTCCGTGCGACGAATTGTCCTGCAACGGATTGTCCGGTCACCATTTTTGTCATGACTGGATCTGATTCTCTTTCATTCATTGTCACCTACATTCACAGTCATACCTTTCAAATGTGATGTCTTTTATATGTACAACTGCAAATTCATGCCTATTCATATATGTTTTCATTTTCTCTCTTGATAATTTCTTTTGAGTGAAGTTACAAAATAATTAATAATTGGTATTCTATTTTCATTGAATATTTATGTCTATGAGCGTAAATTATTTTAATACTTAGAGAATAGTTTGAAATTAAATTTGTGTTAAGTCTGGTTGACTCACATATGGTTTCTCTTATTGCTTAATTCTATTATTTAGAGTAATCCTAATGTTATCAATGCTCTTCAATGTATACTGTTTTGTATTTTATTCTTTCAGAATCTAAAAGCAAATTAAAACGAACATGAATTAGACATAAGGGGTCTAAGTATGGTATCGACTTAGTCGAAAATTTGATAGCATAGTTTATAAATGTGTTCGAGTTCAAAATCAATGAAAAAAACTGCGAAGTTAATTGCACCGACGAGTTTTGCATCATTTATTAAAATATTAAAACAATTGTCAGGGTCTAAATAAGCATTAAAAAAGCGTGAAAAACAAAACATTGAGATGGTAAAGAAAACAATTCACAAAAAATAAATGAATAATACAAAGACAAAAAATAACGAATCATGGGACATATTATACTAGGAACCGAACCGGACCAGCCAGTTTGACTGTTTCGACCGAACTATGCATGTTTCTAAATATCAGTGTGTCTGTGTGAAAAGATGATCCGTGCCGAGATCCACAGCCAATTTTGCCAAGACTGTAAAGATTCAAAGTTTGAAAGTAAGTACTCTCATCTTCACAGTATCGAATCTGATAACAGGAGTAAGTGAATGAATAGGAAGCAAGACACGCCTGTATCTCAATTGTACGTTTGCTTCGCCTACTCTGACCTGTTGTAATCAATTCTATCTACCATACTTCAACAGTGTCAATTTATTATGATTTTGAGTTTTTACCAGAAAATAGAAAATCATACTTCAAAATATATTTTCTGTCAAAAATCACTCAGTTGCTATAAAAATGAATAGAAAAGCATTATGAATTTTCACAGAAACTTGCAATTTTTTATGGAGAGATCGACTAGATTGTATCTCAGTAAGTGAACAGTCTGGTAATGAAAATTATTTTTCTTGAAGTGAAACTCTTCTAGAAAATACTGAAGACTTGCGTATAAATTTATTTCATAGCAGGTTAAGAATTTTTAAGTAGCGCAGGGCTTTTCGTAGAAAAAAAACTGAGATTGTGCAGAAATTTATATTTAACATTTTAATGGATATTTCTGTTTGAAGATGTTATAATGTAAGATTTAGTTCAAAATATGGCAATGTTATTATTAGATATGAACTTGGACAGTGTGTGACTGTTAATGGGCGTGAGTGTTTGTGTTAACCATATCTACACCCGAATGAAGTTTAGTCGCTTTCATGCATGATCGTAAAGCAGTTTTTGATCTGAACTTTTCCAGTGAAATAGAATCAGCACTTTTACCTGATGTGAGAAAGTTTTTTATGAAAAGTTTCCTTTAATAAGTCTCATACTTTGATATTCTCATATTCTTGCAGCATATGTATTTGATAAATATACCCTCGGTTCTTTCTTTTTATTCACGGTTCCACAAGTTTTTGTCGTAGGCTGTGCTTATGAAATCGATCATGTTAGTTTTGTAGAAGTCAAGCATGAACAACGTGTTTTCTTATCCATTGTTGTCGATACGAAATAGTGTGGCAGTTGGTTTTTTTTTGTTTTATTGTTTTAAGATATCATGAAAACTCGTACTGTCAAAACTTCTAAAAAACAGGAAAAACCAGCTTCTAGTCTCAGCAGATTTTGTGAAACAAGAGAGTATGGGTGTAGGAGTGGATGTTGGTGTAGTTCTTCTCTTTATTCACACCCACACCCACACCCACACCCACACCCACACCCCTACCCACACCCACACCCACACCCACACCCCACACCCACACCCCACACCCACACCCACCCACACCCACACCCACACCCCACACCCACACCCCACACCCACACCCACACCCACACCCACCCACACCCACACCCCAAAATATTTTCATATGTTCTTAACAATGTCTTATCACTGTCAAGTCTGATCTGTTTATATAGTTTGTTTGAATATTTCCATCTAATGATCGAAGGTTTTATACTGTAAATAGAAAAAATTTGACATTTTCGGATTAAATCAAAGCTCTCACCGCCGAATTAACTAATACAATATATGGACTGCCCTGTATGTCTAGCGACCGAGGCCGATGTATTCGAATTTTAAGATATGTTGAATGTGTGTACAGTGTTCACAGTTTAAAATTTAAGTCGTTTTTTTTTGTCGTGTTTCTTAGATATAGCTCATCGAATTTCATATGGAAAACTCTTTCATGTTTTAAAACATAACTTTACAACCAAGTCAAAGATGCTATATTTTCAAATATAACGGAAAATAGGCCGAAAATTCTAACTTTCGTAAAGCTTTTCTAAAACTTGACACATTTTGTCTTATGTAATTCTACAAACTGTATCTAAGGAACACGACAAAAAACCTATTTTAATTTTAAATTGTGAATATTGTACATACATTCATCATGTCTTAAAAGTCGAATATCTCGGTATCGGACACTGGATGTACTGGGCAGCCCATTTATTATATTAGTTAATTTCGCGGTGGCGCACTCGTTAAGATATTTCCTTCGAACGTGTTGTACACTTCAACAAATGACCGAATTTTTGCGTTTTAATGCAGTTGTTTTGGTAATGTGTTTAAATGTTTTTCTTTCCACCCGATTTAACGATGTTAAAATGAAAATTATATCAACTGTTAAAACGCAAAAATTCGGACATTTGTCGAAATGTGCAATGCGTTCAAAGAAAAAATAAAAGTGCCCATTAAAACGTGTTATTTTGCCATTTCTGACTGCTTGGGTACTTAAAGATAGAAAACGGTTTTCTTGCAGAATAAAATTGAAAGAACTTTTTTCAAAGCTTTTTCTCTTTTATATATTTATCTAGAACAAATATCGTTGGTATTGAATCGATTTTTGAAATGTCGAAAAGCTTCGTCTTCATTTCTTTTCTAAACTTAGATTTGTTTCTTTTATTGATTCTTATAATGAGTTCTTCAAACTGAGTAACTTGAATACAAATCTTGACTGTTTTCTTGCCTTTTGATAAAAAATAAGAGTATCAGCATGTTATTCCAACTTGTAATAGGTTCTAGCAGTTCAATAATAAATAATCATTAATGCAGGATCATATTCTAAACCATAGACTGAAGAGCTTCTCCATAGTAAGTCAATGCTGTTTCATGTTTATCTTGTCGAAAATAGATATATTCAACAAAATGAATGTTTGATCAGCCTGAAAAAATGTCTCCAATTATTCGAATGCTTTCGAAGAATATTCTGAGGCGTCTAATCAACGTGACAAATCAGTATCAGCATTGTAAATATCAAATTAACTGGTAACAATTAATGAATGATCATTTGAAAGAGAAATCTCTTCCACTTCTGGAACTTTCACGTTGTATAAGATGATGCTGAAGGAAAAAAAAGTGGATCCAAATATCCGCGAACCCATGAGAATTTTTCAGATGCGATTGGGATATCGAAATCTGCTAATGTACATTTGAATTTTTTAATTTCACTAAGACACTTATCATCATACTTAGTTACATATCTTAGTTACTTTTATCTCTAAAAACCGGTTTAAAATACTAGGTGTAAGGAAAAATAGTTTTTTTTTTAATCGTTTACGGCTACAAATTAAACATACCTTGATAGATTGGTTAGAGTTTGAAAATGTCCATGTCAAGCAGCATGAATATTACAAAAAAGCAAATAAAGAAATTTACATATTCATATACAAATACTTTATTGAGAATCCAATATATTATTATTAACAAGTCTATTATTCTTCCACTGTATACCATTTTTTTTCCCCCTCTCTTATGTTTTCTATCCGTTCTCTTATAAGTTATATACCAGCATGTACACTCTGTCATCTCATTTTTTTTTTTTTTTTTTTTTCTCCTTCCATTAAATATTGTTACATTCTCATTTTTTTCTCTCAATTCAGATAAGATGTAAAGTACAGTCTGTACTACTCCATTTCTTACCATTATCATAGGATATTGGCTCAGGTGAACATTATAAAATGTAGTACTAAAATACTGATATTGTATCAAATACTTCCTCTAGTCCTTTTTTCTTTGTCGTGCTCTCTTTTGTTCCTATTTTTTTCTTTTTTCTTTTTTCTTTTTTTATAACCTGTGAACCAAGATAAAAGGCACAATAAAAATATATGTAAAAAAAAAAAAAAAAAGTTACTTTTATCTCTCTTTTGTTTCAAATAGAATTTGATAAAACAAGAGCGAACAAGGTGAGTAGTGATAAAATAGATGTGGACACATAAAAGAAAAATAAACAGTTAAGGGCATATTATTTTGATATTCACTTTACAGCAACATCTAAAGCTATGCGTTGCCTAAACTACTGCAGCATTTTGCTCATATGTGTACTTTGGTCAATAATCGATGCTCGTCGTCCATCTCTATTTGATGTGCGCATAGATTATTACAAAGTTGAGACCACACAAGATTTAATTATCAATAATCCACGACCTCGATTTTCTTGGAAGATTCGCGTTTTGGACAATGTATCGCAACGAAATGTTCAACAAACAGTTTATCAAATACAAATTCAATCGATAAAAATAATTCAACGAGATAATCAATTTGCATGGGATAGTAAACGTGTTGTGTCATCACAATCAATCTATGTACCATATACCGGTCAAAATGATCTTTTACCATCAACATATTATCGTTTTCGTGTACGAGTTTGGACAACAAACTCAGAAGAACCAAGTGAATGGACGAATTGGATTCAATTTCGAACGACTATTTTCAATTTACATGAATATTTGACAAAAAACAATGCTCTTCTTTGGATTGGATCAACGAAGATTAATATGAATGAATTGAGAAAAGAATTCATGGTACCAAATGTTAGTCCTATCAAATCAGCAATTACTTATATTTCTGGAATTGGCTATTATGAATTCTATCTAAATGGTAATAAAGTAGATACAAGTCGAAAATTAGACCCTGGTTGGACATCCTATGAAAAACGTACTCTAGTTGCTTCATTTGATTTGACAGCAAATATCACAGTTAGAATTTCTTTTTTTCTTTTAAAAGAAGTTCGTCTGTGAATTCCTGTGTAGGCTGGCATGAATGCTGTAGGAGTCAAATTAGGTAATGGTTGGTATAGTCCAGAACAGCATGGCAAATCTGGCTATGGTATATGAGAATTTATCTTATTTCAAAAAGATTTTTGCTTTGAGAATATTTTAGGTCCACCTCGTCTTATTTTCAGCTTGTCTATCCTGTTTGAGAATGGTAATGAAATGCAAGTTCTTAGTGATCAGACATGGACTGGTCGAGAAGGTTCAATTAAACATGATAGTATTTATAATGGTGAAATGTACGATAGTCGAAATGATCGGCCTAACTGGGCTCGAGTCGGATTTAACGATTCTTTCTCATTATGGATCATGCCGGAATCAATGCCATCACCACTCAATAGCTCACTCAATGGCTCGTTGATTCTTCAGGACATGTTACCGATTCGAGCTGGGCCCGATGCATTAAATTTTGAAGTTATGATAGATAGTCAACAACAAAGTTATTTAAATCATGAAGATATAGATGAAATCAAAGGTGCAAAATTAACCGATGGTGGAATACTCAAACCAGTCGCCATGTGGATATCGGATTCAGGTATCTTTTCCTATTTATCCGTAGAGCGTAATCATTTTAACCTCGAATTTTTGTATAGGTCTTCAAACCTTTGATCTAGGTCAAAATATAGCAGGATGGTGTCGCCTAAGATTTCGTGGTCCATCTGGTTTTGGCGTCTATATTCGTTATGGTGAAGCGTTAACTCAACCAGTTGTATCCACCAAGTAAGATCTTAATAATTTAGTATATAGTCATAGTTATTCATTTTAAGTCATTCTTCTCGCAATATTTACACAGAAAATCTTAAAGGAGCCGCAGCATCTGATACTTATGTATTGCATGGTGATCCTATTGGTGAAATCTATGAACCGACGTATGTTTTTCTTTGTACTTTCCAGCATTTTTTTTCACTTGTTCTCCTTAGTTTCACTATTCATGGTTTTCGTTATCTATCTATTTTCGATCCACCGAATGCATTGACAGCAGATGATGTTGAATGTCCTTTTGTACATAGTGAAACAACGCTGAAAGGTCATTTCGCTACGAGCAATCCAATCATCAATCAAATTCAACATAATATTCAATGGACTCAATTGAGTAACCTTATGTCAGTGCCTACTGATTGGTCTGTTATACTCATATGTCTGTTATTAACAAGCTTTCTTCTTTATTATTTTATAGTACAGAACGTGATGAACGTCGAGGATGGTTGGGTGATGCAGCATTAACAGTTGATGAAGCATTATACAATTTTGATTTAATCAAATTGTATCAAAACTTTCTCAATCTAATAGTTGATGATCAACTAGACAATGGTGAATTACCTAATTTTGTGCCAGTTGGTAATTATCCATCTGCGCCATATTGGGGTCCTAATTATCCACCTGATCCAAATTGGGCTTCTGCATTACCGACAATAACTTGGAAGATTTATCGACACTATAGTGATATTCAAATACTAAAAGATTATTATGATCATATTATTGCACATATAAAATATTTTCATGGTCTTTACAATACAACAAGTCTTGCTAATTTTACTGTTCGATATGCTGATTGGGTTCCACCATCACCTGAGCCCATGACGAATAGAGGTTTAATTGGATCATTTGGTTTTCTTCATGATATCAACCTTTTAATTGAGATGTCTCAAGTACTTGGCAAAAAAGAAGATACTGATACATATTCAATATTATATCAAAAACTTGCTAAGGAATTTCACCAAGTTTTTTATAACACTTCGCAAAACTTTTATGCGGATGGAATGCAAGCAGCACAAATACTAGCTTTAGCATTACCCGATGTTGTACCAGCAAATGTTCGAGATGCAGTTCTCAATCAACTCGTTACTGATATTAATCAAAAAGGCAAGCATGTCACAACAGGTATCGTGTCGACAGCTAGAATTTTTCCAATCCTTTCTGACAATGGACATCATGATTTGGCACTTGAATTGATATCATCAATAACTTATCCATCCTATGGTTATATGTTCAATAATCCTTATGAAAATGCCACTACTCTATGGGAATTTTGGAATTCGCCAGTGTCGGAACGTGAAGTGAGCTCTCGTAATCAAGCTATGTTTGGTAGTGTTGGTGCATGGTTTTATTCACATTTAGCTGGTATTGATCTTTCATCAAATATGATTAATATTCGACCTCGAATGGCTTCTGAAACTAAAAAACATCTTATGTCAAAATTAGATTGTCAATTAAGCACATTATATGGTCTCGTTCATGTTTCTTATACACGTGATAAATGTGATACTGTTTCTAACTCAATTTTACTTCGTGTTACTATACCACCAAATCGACGAGCTCGTGTTATGTTTGAACCATTATTTGTTGGTGGACAATGTAAAACATTGATCGAAAGTAATAAAATTATTTGGTCATCGGATGTCGGTACTGTGAATGATCAAGGATTTGATATTGAAAAAGATTCAACAACAGGTTTGATGACAGTATATACTGGCTCAGGTCAATATGAATTTCAAGCATTATGGTAATAGGTTATATATTTTTGAAGAAAGTTATCACTACTCTGTGTGTACGTTTGTGTTACTGAAAACACGTTATGATTTGATATCTTATATAAAATAAATATTTTCATCAATTTTCATTTATCACATAAATAGTTCCTTATACATAACTATTAAATAATGTCATCATGTAATCCTTAGTTGTTTGAATCTTTTCAGATATAGTCTAAATCACCATTTCGCTGGGAACATACAACTATCTAAAGAGATCTTTAGCAAGATCAAGATCGTCCTATTCTTCACACTTAAGAATAAGCAGCCATAACCGTTTTCGACCTTGCTTAAGAGTCTCATCAGATTCTTGTTGTAGCCATACAATTTTAACACTGTATCTCCTCTATTTTATAGGGGTTGATTGCAGTTTCGTCGTCATTTATGATGATGAATTTGAATAATGCCATTTGATGAGTTACCTTAATCAAGAACGAAACCGATTATGGCTGCTTATTCTTGATGCATGTGAAACCTGAGCGAAGGATCTTTTCCGTTTTCAACTACATAGAATCAGCTGGATAGACCAATTGATTATCGTGATTCTCTTCTCAATTTCCAGTAGCAACGACGACACTTTATTGGCTCCATTTTGCACTACAAAGGAGATAAAGGGAACGAAATAGAGGTTCTTCACAGAGAAAAGAATTCCACAATGGAAACGCTAAGATCATCGATCAACTAAGAAGATGAAACTGAGGCGGTGAAGGGATTACGATGAGAGTGAGAAGAAAACAATCACCCATGCTTTTATCTTCACAACATCGGTTCTTTTTCACACCCTAGAGAGAATGCATAACTGTTTTACATTCTCATGGATTTAAACAAAAGCAATCTTAAAAAAGAAAAATCAATCACACCTTGTAATCCCACGTTTCTCTTCTCTCATGTCGAGGGTGTGGATGTGTGAGAAATGAAGAAAGATACAAACCCACATCCACACATCCGATATGGTTGGATAATTTATTCTTTGCGAAATTTGCGTCGATTATGTATTGTTGCTAGAAAAATGACTAAGAAATAGATCAATGAATATGGTGAAATAGGACCACACATTCATGAATTACATAATACTCGAGTGATAAAAGAAAATAAACCAGACGAGTTACTTGTATTCAATGTGAAAGAAGGATGGACTCCTCTATGTGAGTTTTTGAATGTACCAATCCCACAAGATATTCCATTTTCAAATGGAAACTATTCGGGATATGTTCAAGGCAGACTTCGAATAGCCAGAACTAATAGGATACTGTGCTTGGATCTTTATTATTGTGGTAGTTACACTCTTAGTTTATTTCTTTTCTTTATTCATTGGTTCGTAAAATTTCGAAAGTTTATTATTTTTCTTCTTGAAATAAATACTGAAAACGAAGAACCCATAATTACGTATAAGAATAACATTGCGTAAAGCTCAGTAAAATAAAAGTATTTTGCATGTAAATTGATGCTTGCAAATTTGAACCTAATTTAATGTGACAAATGTTCTAACTTAGTTGAGCTGTTGCACACTGTATCGATAAATAAATGTCTGAAGAAGTGTTTATTCTTAAATAAAAAATTTGAATACATACATATTCGCAAAGTATGATCGATTTTCGATGCGAAATACTGAATCGTGCAGTAATATAAAATTCGTTGCGACCACTATTGATTGACAAATGAGATAGATACCTGATCAGGTAGCTTGGTGATTGTAATCAACGTGTATTATACTTTTAGAAAAAAAGATCTTTTTTATTCACGTACAAGTATGGCAGATATGAAAATTAAAATCCAAGACAAAGACTATCGAGTGTAGCAAAACAGTATTAGTCGATTATGAAAAATTTTCATTTATAAAGAAAATCTAAATCGAGATTTGAATTTCATCAATTTTTGATATTTTTTATCCTATTGAAATTTTTCACCGAAATCATAAAAACATGAAACGATAAAGTGCATTCAGTTAATTATTGATGAGATAACTGAGGCAGATGTCATCTTGAAGAACTTATACATTAACTATAGAGTTTTTCAGTAAAAGTGAGACATTCTCATTTGTCACTGATGACATAGGTCGTAAGCAAACAACGAATACATATTATGAGTCAGATCGATGTTGTTTAAAAACTCAAGTTTTCTAATAGAAAATTATAGATTTACTAACACTGTCAATCTTGTTTCGAAATCATCGCTTGATAATGTTTCAAGCATGTCTGATACGGAATTTCATAGATTTTGTATTAATACATTGCCTAAAATTAATCGTAATATCGAATTTCTTCTTCTTCAATCATTGTTCATGGATGATATTCTTATTGCTGTCAATTATTCGAACCTTAATGAATCTTCAGAATTAGATCAAG